ACTCCTAGTATTGCTGGTACCACCTGTCTCACTGCAGGTACACAGGACACCTGTAGAGCTCTGTTAGCAGACTGGAGCTGGAATCTCAAGCATCCAATGCCACAACCTTTCCTCAAAACAAACTCATACTTTAGTTTCACCTTCAAATAAAAGATTTGCATTGGCAGCTGCTTGATTTGGATGTTAAAAGTCAGCTTTTGTTAAGAGATCCAGTTGGGAAAAGAAATAGTCAAAATGTCATTATTTGCAAATAATTATTCAGACTCACAATTGAATCTCAAAATGGATTAGCTCCTACAGAGATGTCTCTGGACTCCAATCATTTACAGTTTTAGAATTCCAGGAGCATACGACCACTCATGATATTCATACTAAGCAATAGACAATAAATTATCTAGCATGTACCTGTGGCAGGCAGGCTTAACTGGTGGTGGGAAAATTTGAAATAATGGCCAAAATGACCATTGTAACCTCAATTATTATAAACATTTAATTTAACTCCCAAGAGAGTTAACATTTAACTCTATTATAAACATTTAATTTAACTCCCGGCCCCCATGCCTGGCTGTCCTCACCAGGGCCCCTTAGAGGGGAGTGGGTTGAGTTTCCCTCCCCGCCCCGAGCAGAGCCCCGGCAGCCGAAGACCTCCAGAACCAGCCACCACCATGCTGAGACCACTCTCCACACATATGAAGGTACCGGCAGAGGAACAAAGGCATGCCGGTCCCGGGGCTGAGATCTCCAAGCCTGCTCGGATCGGGGCTGAGCATCCTCCACCCAGATCCTCCATCTTCCAGTATGCAGGGGTCACACCCACCAACTGCCTCTGGCACCAGGTAATCCCATCAACAGCCAAGACCCAGAGACTATAAAACCCAGCTCCTGGAAGACATCTTTTATCTCATTCTTGCTTTGGACAACTTGGCAGGCTACTGAATGTAACCTGCCCACACGGCAGAGTCTGGCAAACTCCCCGTGGCGTACCCAATATGCCAAATACCAGTAACAATGATGGGTCTCATTCTCCTAACCCTGAAAGAGCCTTGAATATGGCACGTTTTAAAACCTCAGGGCTAGGACGAAGGAGACGTTACTGGTGCCTGCTTGAGGCAATCGACAAACAACAGGATGATCATGATTGTGAATTTAACTCCCATCAAAATCCCAAATAACATTTTTAGGAACTTTAGAATGATCCTTATAAAATTTGTATGGGACCACAAAGAACCCCAAAGAGCCAAAGCCACTCTGAGAAATAAGGAATTGCTAGATTTTGCATTGTTTGATTTGAAACTATACTATAAAACTCTAGTAATCAAAGCAGCATGGCAATAGACTAAGGATAGCCTCTCAGATCAATCACCTAAACTTGAGAAGCTATTAATAAACCCTAAGATATATGGACAGTTAATTTATGACAGAAAATATGGGACCATAAAATGAACTAAGTATAACCTCTTCAAATTAATGGTGCTGGGAAAGCAGGATAGCTACATATAAAAAACATGAAACTGGATCCGTAGCTTGAACCTATATAAAAACCAATTCAATGATCCAACCCAAAGCATGCACTTCAGTTCATCGAGCTCCTTCTGCCCTCAGCCTTGCAACTATTTATCATATTTTCTTGGGTGACCAGCCCAGATCATGAACACACAGTTGTTGAACTTGGCCTGCAACTTTGACCTAATCAGTCAACTTTCGTGGGTCCCGTTTACCTCAGTGGTGATGTGGCAAATCTAAAACAAAGCCTCCCTACGAAGGCAAAAGTAATGAGAAGACACATTCCAACAGATTTCTAAGAACGAAGGTCATTAGTGCCAGTAATGAAGAGATGCTGACTTGGAATCATCCCTCAGCTGGCAAATGCCCTCTCCACAGAGGATTCCTTTCAGCTTAAAGAAGAATCCGGAAGCGAAGACTATGTTTTAATTTCCTCTAGGACATGAAGCATTAGATCTAATTGCTTCTCTTCAGTTCTGATATTATTTCTCGCCTATCACTTAAACGGCACCCTCACTGGGACCTTCCTACACCTTCAATCATTATGATAAAAGCCACAGGCAACAAAGCAGAGATTTCCACGAATGATCTCCCACTTGTTCATTGATCAATTTTGTGGTGTTTGACACTCAGGAGAAAGTGACGGATCACCAGGCTGTGTGTGACTCTAAAATTAGGACCAGGTGACACGGCACCACACTGTGCTTTATCTCCGTAAAGAAATACTTTCCACCGACCTTCCCTGTGGGAGACGCATGACACACAATGTCTGTCTAAGCTGGAGTAAGTAGTTAATCTCTCTTTTCCCTGCCTCCCTACTGGGGAAGGTGGAAAAGTCCAGGGAGAATGGGAAGACCACCAGAGCTGGAGTGATAGCACAGCGGGGAGGGCGTTTGCCTTGCAGGTGATCGATCTGGGTTCAATCCCCAGCATCCCATATGGTCCCCCAAGTACCACCAGGAGTGATCCCTGAGTGCAGAGCCAGGAGTAATCCCTGCACATTGGTCCTGTACATCGCTGGTGTGACTCAAAAAGACAAAATAAAAAAAAATAGAATGGAGAGATGGTGGAGCAACCATTTCCTCCAGCGACCACTGCGCAGCCTGGGACTCGCCGTGACACAGGAACTCTAGACCCCTCTATTGTCTCTTCTGCCCCCAATGCTGCCTTTGATGGGGAGCTTTGAAAATGCTCTCGGCCCTGGATCACCAGGAAGTCCCAGATGGAGGTAGGTGCCACATCCTGCCTCCTTCAGAGGGAACCCCGGTGACCATGAGCCTCTACAAGCATAGCTTGGTTATGCAGGAACCAGGACTCTTACTCCAAACCGCGCGGCCACTTACACAGCTGCGCGACATCTCCTTATATATAAAGTGATCAATGGAAAGTAAATTATCCAACATTTCACCCTGAAAATCAGGCTTAACTCTTTTACAAACCACAACACCCAACAGGAAAGAGAGAACAAAAGGGAATGCCCTGCCACAGAGGCAGGGTGGGATGGGGGTGGGGTGGGGGGTGGGAGGGTTACTGGGATTCATGGTGGTGGGAAATGGTTACTGGGGGAGGGATGGGTATTCATTATTATTCATCATTATTCATCATCCTGTTATTCGTCGATTGCCTCGAGCAGGCCCCAGTAACGTCTCTTTCATCCTAGCCCTGAGATTATATTCAAGGCTCTTTAGGAGAATGAGACCCATCATTGTTACTGGTATTTGGCATATTTTGGTACACCACGGGGAGTTTGCCAGACTTTGCCCTGTGGGCAGGCTACATTCGATAGCCTGTAAGTTTGTCCAAAGTAGGACAAAGTAGGGTATTCAAAATAAATAAATAAATTTAATAAAAAAAAAAGAAAAGAAAATGATCTTGGCCCTGTCCCAGCTACAGGACAAGGGGCACTGGCTGGGAGACTGGCCAGGGAGTGGCTGCCATCCCAGCACTCTCACCGCACTGTCCTCCTTCTGCGAGCTCCTGGAATCAGTGACGGGACACCCCCCTTTCTCCGTTTCCCCACCTGGAAGCAGGAGGACCCCAGAAGCAGGGTCAGGCTCCTGCTCTCCCACGCTGACCCTGAGCCTGGACGGGACAGCCTCCAGCTTCTGGCCGTTCCTGGTGACATTTTCGGTCACCTCGGCTGTTCAGCTGAGCTGCTCCTGTGGCCAGTGGGCGGAGGCCATGGAGGCCACTGACCGCCTGGGATGTACACACAGTCCCTGTAGCCAAGAGAGCTCTCACAGCTGGAGCACGACAGTGTTGGGGGCACTTTCCACTGGGTCACGCTGCACTTTAGGGAAAGTCATTTTCTGAGCTTCTGTCACTCTCATGCCACACGGGTACCTGGCCTGGGAGTGGCGGGGTGGGAGGGGAAGGGGCTTATCCTACAACACAGATCATGACGGCTGGCACAGTACAAACATTGCCCCCCAGCCCCCCCCCCCGGCCTAGGTGCTCCTTTTTAATTTATTGCTTTTATTGGGTCATACTAAGTGATGTTCAAGGGTTGCTTCTGGCTCTGCACTCAGGAATTAACTCCCGGTGGTGCTCAGGGGACCCTATGGGACGCCGGGAATTGAACTTGGGTTGACTGCATGTAAGGCAAGTGCCCTCCCTGCTGTACTATCGCTCTGGTCCTCCTTTTCTTTTATTTCCATGCTGGGCACTGTGATGGATACTCCTGAAGATGTTTGAGCTAAATAGGAAGTTCATTTTTCTCCTCTGCAATCTCTGCTGAGTTCTCTCTGCATGCTTAGATGTGACTGCTACGAACAAGATTGGAGCCTTTCATTTTTTTTTTTTGGTTTGACATTTTCAAATTTAGGCTAACCAAGCTGTCGATGGTAGAATTTTAGACCTACCATATTCCAACTCCAATCCTGTCACCAGTGTCAATGTCACTCTGCCAATGTCCCTCCACACCCTCCTCTCCACTCACACGGCATATGTAACAGGTCTCATTACTACAGCGTGGGTCTGTGCTTGTAGTAAGTACCGTTGGTTCCAGTGGTTGAGATAGATGCAGACATCGTGTCTCTACATAACCGACATGCCCAAGGCTGAATTGTATCTACATAACCGACGTGCCCAAGGCTGAATTGTAGGCAGAGAGCTCTTTCCCAAAGCAAAGAGCATGTTTGAGGGTGGAATCCAAGAGCAGATATTGGTTCACCTCTGTTCAGTTCACATTGCAGCCCAGATCATCCCCAGGGACCCAGGGACGTGCCTACCAGCATCACTGGGTGACACTCTGGTCACGGCCACCAAGTGTGCCGGTGACCGAGGAGCTGTAGGTAGGTCTGAGGACACTTCTCAGCAACGCAGAGGAAACCACACAACTTTGTTTGCATTGAGAAGATGCTGGTGACTGAACCCCACTAACAAAACACAATCGAAAATCCAAACTCCCATTCCCACCCAGCTTTTTTTTTTTTTTTGTGGCTTTGTAGCAAGCGTGCTTGGGACACGCCTTGGGGCCAGAAGCCTCAGGTGCTTACCTATCACTTTCCCGAGGAAGAGCGACTTGGGGGAGTTGAAGAGGGTGTCAGAGGAGCTGGGCAGGTGGTACGTCACAGTGGGGTAATGGTCCAGCTGCAGAAAGAAACAAGAGACCCTTGAGAAGATCATCAGGACATCACATTAGAAGGGAGACATCACCATACAGGGGGGACATCACCTTACAGGGGGGACATCACATTAGAAGGAGGACATCACCTTACAGGGAGGACATCACCATACAGGGAGGACATCACATTAGAGGGAGGACATCACCTTACAGGAGGGACATCACCTTACGGTGGGACGTCACTTACAGGGAGGGTGCGTGGCACCGGGGAGACTGGCCCTGAACACCAGGGAGCACTAGACATGGGCACTGGAGTTCTTTTTAAATTTTTATTGAGTCACCATGAGATACAGTTACAAATCTGTTCATGATCGGGTTTCAGTCATACACTCATCCAACACCCGTCCCTCCACCAGTGTTCATTTCCCAGTCCCAGTGTCCCAGTGTCCCCCCTGTCTCTATGGCTCTAAGGCAGGCTCTCCCTCTCTCTCTCTTTCTCTCTCTCCCTTTCTCATCCTCTTTCCCTCCCTGCTTCCCTCCCTCCCTCTCCCCCTCTCTCTCCTTTTGGACATTGCAGTTTACAATACAGGTTCTATGAGGTTATCATGTTTGTTTCTTTACCTACTTTTAATATTTTAATATATTTTTTCCTTTTGGGGTCATACCCAGCAATGCTCAGGGGATAACTCCTGGCTCTGCACTCAGGAATTACTCCTGGTGGTGCTCAGGGGACCATATGGGATGCTGGGAATCGAACCCAGGTTGGCCGCATGCAAGACAATCGCCCTACCCGCTGTGCTATCACTCCAGCCCCTCTTTACCTGCTTTTAGCATACAGCTTTATTTATTTATTTATTTATTTATTTATTTATTTTTGGGTCACACCCAGGATGCTCAGGGGTTACTCCTGGCTCTGCACTCAGGAATTACTCCTGGCAGTGCTGGGGGGGGGGGGGGTGGAATATGGGATGCCGGAGATAGAACCTGGGTCAGCTGTGTGCAAGGAAAACATCGTCCCTGCTATACTCTTGCTCTGGTCCTGCATGCAGTTCTTTTTTTTTTTTTCTTTTTTCTCTCTCAAGTGTGTTTTTATTTCCACCCCTTTCGGAGAGCCCGGCAAGCTACCGAGAGTATCTCACCCGCACGTCAGAGCCTGGCAAGCTCCCCGTGACGTATTTGATATGCCAGACACAGTAACAACAAGTCTCACGATGGAGTCATTACTGGGCCCGCTCGAGCAAATCGATGAACAACGGGAGGACCGTGACTGTGACCATGTTTTTATTTATTTATTTATTTATTTAATTTATTAGTGAAACACCATGAGGTACAGTTGTAGACTTACAAATTTTTGTGCTTGGGTTTCAGTTATACAATGATCGAGTACCCATCCCTCCACCAGTGCCCATTCTCTACCACCACGGGTCCCAGTATTCCTCCCACCCCCCATCCCCCTCATCCCACCCTGCCTCTGTAGCAGGGCATTCCCTTTTGTTCTCTCTCTCTCCTTTTGGGTGTTGTGGTTTGCAAGAGAGGCACTGAGTGGCAATCATGTTTGGTCTATAGTCTACTAAGAAATCTGTAAATGGCTGTGATCAATTAATTGTAAACACCACTGCACTCGGACCAGCCTGCATGCAGTTCTTATCCAGAGTGATCATTTCCAACCTTCATTGACTTAGTGATCCCTTCTCTACCCATCTGCCCTCTCCGCCAGCACTTGAGGCCGGCTTCCAACCGTGGACCCATCCTCCTGACTCTTGTTTCTAGTTCTCCCCGGCTCCTCTGAAAGCAGCCCAAGAGGTAAGGGAAGAACCTCCAAATTGTCCCCCAGCACCTGCACGTTTTCTGCGGACCTGCTGGGTTCAAACTCTCGCTCATTTCAGTTCCGTTTTTTGGGGCCACACCTGGTAATACTGAGGGTTTACTCCTGGCTCTGCGCTCAGAATCATTCTTTTTTTTTTTTTTTGAGTTACACCTGGCGATGCTCAGGGGTTACTCCTGGCTCATGCACTCAGAAATTTACTCCTGACGGTGCTTGGGGGACCATATGGGATGCTGGGAATTGAACCCAGATTGGCTGCTTGCAAGGCAAATGCCCTACCTGCTGTGCTATTGCTCCAGCCCCTCGGAATCACTTTCAGTGGGTGCCGGGAGGCACGGGGGTGGGTATGAATCACCCAGACGGTGACTTGTGCCATGAGGAAACAGCAAAGAGGCCCACCACCCTCTCCTAGCCAAGAAGGCGCCATCAGGACTACCCAGCTCGGTATCACCCAGAGAGGAACATTTGAGACACCCTGTTGAGGATATTTGATGAACTCGAAACAACGGTCCAGGTACAAGGAAGCATGAGGTCAGAAATGAGAAACTATGAACAGAGGGACAGAACTCAGGACTCTGGTAGGTGCACTGGAAGCCCAGTGGACAGTAGAGTCACAGCATCTGAGGATAAAACCCGTGATGGGATGCAGGAAATCTCCAGAAAGCAATAGAAGACGCAAAATGTCTCAAAAATAAATGAGAAGCCAGCATCTCCAAACTCTAAAACTCTGACATCCCAAGTAGGATGGAATGTAATGCAAAAGCCAGCCAACCTCAACAAACAAAACCATGAAGTCAGAAGCTTAACTTGCAGCATCAGCTTAGTGAACCCTCACACGAGAATTTAGTGGCCTCCTGGTGAGATACAACAATTTTCAAAAATTTTGTTCTATGGAAATACGTTTTGACCATCCCGTTAACCATTTCATGATAACAAGGAATATACAATAAATGACTGTGGGCCTGCTCTGGGGGGCAGGCTTGAGGGGTGGAAGGGAAAAACGGAGACAACGGAGGAGGGAATGAGACGTGGTGGTGGGGTTGGGGTTGGAATATTGAACGCCTGGGACAAATCTTTGTAAACCACGGTGTTTAAATAAAGTGGGAGGGAAAGGGGAAAAAAGAAAGGTTAGCATCTGAGAGAATTCTGGCAATTCAAGTTCAAGAGGAACAACCTAAGAATCATGGGACTCTCTGAGGAACACCAGCCCAGCCCTGGGTTCGAAACAGACTTAGGGAACAGAGATTCCCAAAGCAGAAGAGGGACAGGGGGTGGTGATAGGAGGGTCCCGGGCAGCATAAGAGGTGGCAGGGGGAACAGTTACCTGAAGGGGGCTGAACCCACATTCTTTTTTTTAAAATTTTATTAGTGAAACACCATGAGGCACAGTTGTAGACTTACAAATTTTTGTGCTTGGGTTTCAATTATACAATGATCAAATACCCATCCCTCCACCAGTGCCCATTCTCCACCACCACGGATCCCAGTATCCCTCTCACCCCCCCATCCCCCCATCCCACCCTGCCTCTGTGGCAGGGTATTCCCTTTTTGAACCCACATTCTTAAACACACACAGGGGAGAAACAGTACAGCTTCTTTTGTTGTTGTTGTTCACACCCGGCGATGCACAGGGTATACTCCTGGCTCTGCACTCAGGAATGACTCCTGGTGGTGCTCGGGGGACCATATGGGATGCTGGGAATCGAACCTGGGTTGGACGCGTGCAAGGTCAAAGCCCTACCCGCTGTGCTATTGCTCTAAACCCCCAAACAGTACAGTCTTAAAAAAGCAAAGATTACCCTATATTTTTAGTTGAATGTTTTACTTAAATAAAATCAAAAACAGAAAAGACCGAATTCTCTGAAAAACAACAACAACAGCCCAAAAATCCTTCAGTATACACAGCAGTGTTGCACAGGTAAAATGGAGATTCCCCTGCCAGATTTCATGAGGGCGAAACATAAGTAGAGCAGGAAAATGCAACACAAATGATGCATATGCTAAGTCCTAGGAACCGAGTCAGCGATGGTTACAAAGACAAATCAGAGCGATTGATAAATCTGCTCCTATAACTAGGAATCAGAGAGCCCCGACATAAAATGTTGGTGAGCCTCTAACGTCTGAAATTCAAATAAAAGTAGTCAGGCAAAGGCTGATTTAGAATACTGGAGACTGAAGCAGTTGGTAGTAACCCAAGGTCTCAGGGTCAAGGGTCAAAGAGTCATGATCCTGGAATTTTGGGGCGCTCTGGGGTGGGAGGGATACTGGGATCCATGGTGGTGGGAAATGGGCACTGGTGGAGGGATGGGTGTTTGATCATTGTATAATCGAAACCCAAGCACAAAAATTTGTAAGTCTACAGCTGTACCTCATGGTGTCTCACTAATAAAAATAAAAAAAAATTTTAAAAAATGGATATACTACTAATAAAAAAAAGTTTTAAAGGTGGGGTGAGTACCTGGTTTTGAAAAATACACTTGGATGGTAACCTTGGTGTGTCCGACTATAATTTTGAAAAGTTTCGTATTATTTCAAAGTCACGCTGTACTCATTAACAAAGCACTTAGATGTTAAAAGAAAAACCTTAAAAATTGGAATGAAAGCCGTTATTTTGAGGACTCAGTATGAGCGAGCTGCTTTGGCGCCACCTCGTGGCTCAGATGGGTAACTGTTGCTGTTCCGTTTGTCCAGAGGCCAGACGCCCACAGAGGTTTCCTCAAGCTCTGGTGTCCAGCCCCTCCAACTACTTAGTTTAACGTCATGTTAAATATCTTAGAATAGAGAAACAAAACTCTGCTCATTATTGTAGAAACAATAGTGTAGAGCTGTAGACAAATGCCTGGCGATAACAACATTCATATTCCTACTCTTTCCATTTTCCTCCCAAATTTAGAAGCCACTCAACCACAAATACTGGTTTGCTTTAACTTTTCACCATGCAAATGATGCATCCTGCATCTCTTTTCACGTTAATAATCACACAGTTCAGCCGTTATTTGAAATGAACGACCAGTATTTCGTTCCATGGCTATAAGGGAGAGCTTCTAGAATGTGTCGTTTCTGCGTGTGGTTTTCATATTTCTTGTACATTTGCGTTCAACAAAGTGCTGAGCTCATCGCAGGTCCCTGGTAAAAACGTGCCGGGAGCTGTGAATTAGTGAAACACCTGACCCAGCGGAAAAACAAGAGAACGGCATCGTC